TAGTCGAGGCGGAAACATACCAATATTACAAATTGTTTCCTTCTCCAACTCCCAAAAACAATTCCTTTCTAGTCAATATACCCTTTAAACCATACCTCAGTGAGAAAAAGTACTCATTTGATAACGAAAAATGTCCAGAAATACAAACTAATGAATTTCTTTGCAAAAGATCAATCAGCCAGATGATAGGAAATCATCCACCCTGCAGTGTCCAACTTATAAACTTCCAGTCAAACGTCACAACTTGTCATCCATTCAAAGTTAAAATTGAAGAAATCCAATCGATCAAAGTAGCCGATGGAAAATGGTTAATCATAGCACCCGAAGAAGTAATTGGTAAATCAAACTGCCAAGACCGTCAAGACACCATTCCAATCAAAGGAACATACCTAATCGATTTACCACCTGGTTGAACCGCTCAATTCAAATCACTAATATTTGAAAATTTTGAGTTAAAGCAACTACAATTTCAAGAAGTCAACCTACTTAATTTGACTTGGACCACTACTAGAACACTTCAAGCAGTATTCAATCCACCTACCCTTGAATTGAATAGCATGAACCTGAAATCAACAGAAGACATCCAAGCCCAGCTGAGAACCCAAGCAATCCAACTACAAATAATGCAGACACCCCTATATGTTAACCGTCCTAGCATATGGACTATATTATTATACATCGTTTTATATGCATTTCTTTGCTATTTACTATATAAATTGATTTCTAAGAAACTGAAGAACAAATCGGAAAATAATCAAATTGAAATTAAAGAAACTTCAATTTTCAAATGAAATTACATCACTTTGATGATATAATTTCATCTAATGCCGAAGGAGTTCTGTTTTTCATTTCATTTCATCTAATGCCGGAGAACAAGGGCTATCCACCTGTAACTATCTGTTAATGACAAAAAACTTCATTGAGTTATGATATCCTATTTAGCCAACTTCACAAATTCATGATATTTTATTTTGCGTAAGTAAAAGTATAAGCATAAGGAAATATCTAATTATGCTTACGAGGTACCTAATGTTCTTTAGTTTCACAGATAGCATGTAAACTCATCAGCATTAATTCAGTATATATTCTTACAAGCCTGTAATAACGAACAGTTGTATATTGAAGCTGAAATCCATATCAATCGAAATAAAAATTGTTTTAAAAACTGCCTTTCCAAGGAAGTGATTTTAACTATTGCCGCTGTGCCTTTTAATCAAAAAATTGAAGAAGAGAACTTTTTTGATATAAAAAATTTTCGTAATTTAAAGCAAAGGTCGTAATTTTTCTTTCTGAATGCTTAAGTATTCCCATAGGCTGCCAATCCAACGTGGGATTTTTTCAAAATAATGCTTAATAACAAAGTTGTATATATGTATGTATAAAATAATATCTTCTAAAAATTTTCGAAAAGAAACTTTTCTGGTACTCCCCAAAGGAGCCTCTATCACCCCTTAAAAGGAGTGACGACAATTTTGAATCACCCTGTATGCTTAAAGCAAATGACCAACTTTTTCCGTACACTTATTGTAATTTATTATTGTTTCGTAAATCAACATCTAATGGTTTTCTCTTTAAAAAAATGTTCGGTAA